GTTCTTCTCTGCAGAAACAGACATACATACTAAACCATAACATTTACAGTGATGACATGTTATTCCACCCTAAACTTGGTTATTACAATTATTGGTTATTACAACAAGCATATGTTTTAGATTAATGAAAAATCAGAGACACAGCAGTTTGTGCATTTACCAGTGTAGAGAGTAGGTCTTTTGTGTGTGCAGAGGGAGCTGTGTGAAATCTGATAAATGTTGAATCTGAAGACTACAAGTTTAAAAAAAATCTGTAGCCAAGTACTTAGAAAGGAACAAGAATCTGCAGCTATCTCTAAAAATGCTCTCTGGGCTGGAGGTCACTCCATGTCATATATCTGCAGGTGTAAACCCCATGCAACACAATACACTGAAAAGACAACAAAATAAAATTAACTGTTCAACAAATGTTTCACCTTCACATTTCAGTGTAAAAGAGTTGCATAGAAATATCAAACAAAATGTATCAATAGAATACCATGAATGGCCTGATTTATCTCAAACTACACTATATGGTCAAAAGTATGTGGCCAACCATATGCTGTACCTATAGGTCACAGTTAACACAAATAAACAACAATCTGTTTTAAACATGAAAAAGGAGGGAATCCACCTGCGGAGTTTGCATGTTCTCCCTGTGCCTGCGTGGGTTATCTCCGGGTACTCCAGCTTCCTCCCACAGTCCAAAGACATGCAGCTTAGGTTGATTTGTGGCTCTAAATTGCCTGTAGGAGTGAGTGAGCATGTGTGTGGTTGCTTGGCTACATGTCAGCCCTGGTAGACTGGAGACCTGTCCAGGGTGGACTGCGCCTCTCGCCCAAAGTCAGCTGGGATTGGCTCCAGCCCTCCCATGACCCTATTCAGGAATAAGCAGTATAGATGGTGGATTGATAATAATAATCATCATCATCAAAGGTTTTATTGCTCATTAAGGCAAATCTTCACAGCTTGACTGGATGTTGTGTATAAGCTATGCTGCAACATTTTGTGCAGGTAAATAGCGTCATCTTGTGGCTGTGAGAGTTAAATGTAGTAGGAAACAGCAGTTCTCAGTTACAGTGGTGTGAAAAAGTGTTTGCCCCCTTACTGATTTCTTATCTTTTTGCATGTTTGTCACACTGTAATGTTTCAGATCGTCAAACAAATTTATATATTAGTCAAAGATAACACAAGTAAACACATCATGCAGTTTTTAAATGAAGGTTTTTATTATTAAGGGAAAACAAAATCCAAAACTATAGAGCCCTGTGTGAACAAGTGTTTGCCCCCCTGTCAAAACACTGGTTTATCGCACCTGAGTTCAATTTCTCTTGCCACACCTGTTCGCAATCAAGAAATCACTTAAATAGGACCTGCCTGACAAAGTGAAGTAGACCAAAAGATCCTCAAAAGCTAGACATCATGCCGAGATCCAAAGAAATTCAAAAACAAATGAGAAAGAGAATAATGGAGCTCTATCAGTCCGGAAAAGGTTATAAAGCCATTTCTAAAGCTTGGGGACTGCAGCACCATAAGAAAGAGACTGGGCAAAAATGGTTTGCATGGCAGAGTTCCAAGACGAAAACCACTGCTGAGCAAAAAGAACATAAAGGCTCGTCTCAGTTTTGCCAGAAAACATCTTGATGATCCCCAAGACTTTTGGGATAATACTCTGTGGACAGACGAGACAAAAGTTGAACTTTTTGGAAGGTGTGTGTCCCATTATGTGTGGCGTATATGTAACACCGCATTTCAGAAAAAGAACATCATACCAACAGTAAAATATGGTGGTGGTAGTGTGATGGTCTGGGGCTGTTTTGCTGCTTCAGGCCCTGGAAGACATGCTGTGATAAGTGGAACCATGAATTCTGCTGTGTACCAAAATATCCTGAAGGAGAATGTCCGGCCATCCGTTTGTGACCTCAAGCTGAAGCGAACTTGGGTTCTGCAGCAGGACAATGATCCAAAGCACACCAGCAAGTCCACTTCTGAATGGCTGAAGAAAAACAACATGAAGACTTTGGAGTGGCCTAGTCAAAGTCCTGACCTGAATCCAATTGAGATGCTGTGGCATGACCTTAAAAAGGCAGTTCATGCCCGAAAACCTTCCAATGTGGCTGACTTACAACAATTCTGCCAAGATGAGTGGGCCAAAATTCCTCCACAGCGCTGTGGAAGACTCATGGCAAGTTATCGAAAACGCTTGATTGCAGTTGTTGCTGCTAAGGGTGGCCCAACCAGTTATTAGGTTTAGGGGGCAAACACTTGTTCACACAGGGCTCTATAGTTTTGGATTTTGTTTTCCCTTAATAATAAAAACCTTCATTTAAAAACTGCATGATGTGTTTACTTGTGTTATCTTTGACTAATATATAAATTTGTTTGACGATCTGAAACATTACAGTGACAAACATGCAAAAAGATAAGAAATCAGTAAGGGGGCAAACACTTTTTCACACCACTGTAAGTTTCACAGGCAGGTGTAAACCCCCATCCAGTACAGCACTTGGGCTAAGACAATATATTGCATAAAATACACTAATTGCTTGTTAAGTGTTTTCCCTACCTTAGAAATAGGATATGTGGAGGCTAAGTATAAGTGGTGTCCACATACCACAAAGGCAGCTATAGGAAGCTAGAAGCAGAACTTCTTACAGCCCAAAATGTAATTAAAGAAATGTATTTTCTCCCAAAATCTCCACTCACCACAAAGGCTCCACTCTTAAACCAAAGCTCGAGTTTTTATAACCTCAACCAGAAAAGGCCAGCAGACATTTTACAAAAAGTATACAGTGAGGAACAGAAGTATTTGAACACCCTGTGATTTTGCAAGTTCTCCCACTTAGAAATCATGGAGGGGTCTGAAATTTACATTGTAGGTGCATTCCCACTCTGAGAGACAGAATTAAAAAAAAATTTCAGGAAATCACATTGTATGATTTTGAAAGAATTTATTTGTCTTGCACTGCTGAACATAAGTATTTGAACACCTGAGAAACAGCAAGAATTCTGGCTCTCAGAGACCTGTTACTGTGCCTTGAAAAAGTCCACCTCTACTCCACTCATTAATCTAAATTAGTAGCACCTGTCTGAGCTCTTTAAAGACACCTGTCCACCCCACAGTCAGTCAGACGCCAACTATTACCATGGGCAAGACCAAAGAGCTGTCAAAAGACACCAGAGACAAAATTATGGACCTCCACAAGGCTGGAAAGGGCTACGGGGCAATTGCCAAGCAGCTTGGTGAAAACAGATCAACTGTTGGAGCAATTGTTAGAAAATGGAAGAGGCTAAAGACGACTGTCAGTCTCCCTCGGACTGGGACGCCATGCAAGAGCTCACCTCGTGAGGTATCACTGATTATAAGAAAGGTGAGGAATCAGCCCAGAACGATAGGGAGGAGCTGGTCAATGACATGAAGACAGCTGGGACCACAGTTTCAAAGGTCACTGTCGGTAGAACACTACGCCGTCATGGTTTCAAATCATGCATTGCACGGAAGGTTCCCCTGCTCAAGTCATCACATGTCCAGGCCCGTCTGAAGTTTGCCAAAGACCATCTGGATGATCCAGAGGAGGCATGGGAGAAAGTCATGTGGTCAGATGAGACCAAAGTAGAACTTTTTGGTCTAAACTTCACTCATCGTGTTTGGAGGAAAAAGAAGGATGAGTTGCATCCCAAGAACACCATCCCTACTGTGAAGCATGGGGGTAGTAACATCATGCTTTGGGGGTGCTTTTCTGCAAAGGGGACAGGACGTCTGCACTGTATTAAGGAGAGGATGAATGGGGCCATTTATTGTGAGATTTTGAGCAACAACCTCCTTCCCTCACCCAGAGCATTGAAGATGGGTCATGGCTGGGTCTTCCAACATGACAACGACCCGAAGCACACAGCCAGGATAACCAAGGAGTGGCTCCGTAAGAAGCATATCAAGGTTCTGGAGTGGCCTAGCCAGTCTCCAGACCTCAATCCAATACAACATCTTTGGAGGGAGCTTCAACTCCGCGTTGCTCAGCGACAGCCCCGAAACCTGACAGATCTAGAGGAGATCTGTGTGGAGGAGTGGGCCAAAATCCCTGTTGCAGTGTGTGCAAACCTGGTCAAGAACTACAGGAAACGTTTGACCTCTGTAATTGCAAACAAAGGTTTCTGTACCAAATATTAACACTGATTTTCTCAGGTGTTCAAATACTTATGTTCAGCAGTGCAAGACAAATAAATTCTTTAAAAATCATACAATGTGATTTCCTGAATTTTTTTTAATTTTTTATTCTGTCTCTCGGAGTGGGAATGCACCTACAATGTGAATTTCAGACCCTTCCATGATTTCTAAGTGGAAGAACTTGCAAAATCGCAGGGTGTTCAAATACTTCTGTTCCTCACTGTAACTCTTAAATTACTTAGAAACAAAACAGAAAGATAACTGACTTCTTATATTTTATGAAGAAAGCCTTACTGAGTCTAACTCTTGTTGAGAGTGTATTGAGTTGGTCAACAAATAATAAGTTACAAGAAAATTTAGGAGGTGAGAAAGCTACTCAAAAACAACTTTTATACCATTCTCTAGACCATTGTTGGGCTGTGAGAGAACAGGCCCCTGTTCACACACAGGTAAAAAGCCCATCACCCCTCTTATTCGCTGTATATATTATTCTCTTTGTCTGTCCTTTGACTGTCATGTAAGACAGTTAGTCAGGAATTGCTTCTTTCATTTGAGAAATATATCTAAATTAAGGAAGATTTTATCTAAGGGAGATCTTGAAATGATTATTCATGCTTTTGTTTCTTCACACATTGATTATTGCAACTCTCTTTTTACCTGTTGTAATAAGTCCACTTTAAATCATCTTCAGATTGTCCAGAATGCAGCTGCGAGGCTCCTGACAGGAACCTCTAGAACAGCTCATATTGGTTACCATCTTCTTCCCACTCTCCCTCCTCCTCTTCGCTGCTGGTGACAGGCTGGTTTAGATATTCCTATTCGGAGTCAGTGGAGGAGGAGGAGGAGGACTGTACTCTTCGGTCTGTAAACCAATCTCTTTTGGTGGTCCCCAAAACTCGTTTTAAATCTCGGGGGGACCTGTCTTTTCAGGTCGTAGCTCCAAGACTGTCGAATGCCCTGCCCTTGACTCTACGTATGGCCGAATCTATTGATGATTTTAAAAAACAGCTGAAGTCACATTTATTTAGACAGTTTTTTAATTGATTGGGTTTATTCATTTTATTTTGTGAGTCCTTTTTAGGTATATTATTTATCTCTTTCTATCCTTTGACTTTGTAAAGCACTTTGTAACCCTGTCTGTGAAAGGTACTATATAAATAAAATTTACTTATTTACTTACTCACTTTTTATTTAGCTCTGTGGCTTTTAATCTAGAATTATTAACAGTCACTTCTGCAAAGTCTTTAGCCGGTCCTGTGCCTGTGTCCCATCCATCTCTGGAACCTTCAACATTTTAGGTGAAGAAAATCCCAATAAAACTATTAAATTAATGAATAAACATGGAAACATATCCAAGTCAAATGTCTTGCGCAGTGACACTCGGCTGTCATAGGGGCGCTGATGAGTCCATGTTCAATAGTTTGAAGAGCACAAGAATAAGAAGTGTTGCTACTGGATCTTAGTTACTTCTTAAATGACATTAGACCAAAATTTACAGTATTACCGTTGGTTTAAAAATAATTTACCAAACTTCAGCGGAGAGTTGTAGCCTTTCTATTGTCCGACTATCTGCGTTACTCGGAAAATGCGGGACCGGACTAAAGAATTAAATAATGTGAGTATTAAAGTGAGCGGCTAACGTTAGCATTAGCGAGCTAGCTTGCTAACTTAGCCCAAGTCGCTCCTTCAGTAGAGTAACTACACCAAACTTCTGTGTTTGACTGTGACAACTTGGAATATTAACATGAGTCAAAATAAACAGCAAAAAGAGCAAACGTTTCCTGTGTCTGAATATTAACTTTACGAATAGTTTACTTCCAGTTTCCGTTTATCGTTAATCGCCAGGCCGGGATTGGGCAGGGCTCCCGGTGAATTTGTGATTAAGATGCCGCTTCATGTGTGTATCTTCTTCTTCTGATGTTTATTGGCGGTTTGCAAGCCAAATTAAGGTGCACCATATGTGTAATAGGTGTGAAACTCAGCTTTAAACAGACCTTTTCTTCTCTGACGTAATGTAGTCGAGATTTGTTAGGTCTAAGCGTAGTGATTTTTGTAGGATAAAATGACTGACAGTGACATTTTTGGTTGTTACAAATAGAATAAAGGTTTCACAGTTTTGAAAACGGGTTTTAACAGTGTTTAGCTTTTCAGAGTTAATATAGTCCAAATTTGACAAGAATCTAGACCGGGTCTGGATAAAAGCAGTCAAATTGCCCTTTGTTGTCTCAAATACTGGTCTCTGCTTGTTAATAATGCCCTGGTTTGACAAGCGTAAATGTAGTGGAATTTAGGGTAGATGTGGTCTGTTGTGGCCTGAATTGGGAAAATGAAATCCTCTTTTTGAAAGTGGTTTTAAAGAAGTAAATCTAGCACACTTTCGCAAGAATGAGTGGCTCGATAAACAAAGAAGTGCTCAATAGGCTCTCTCGTTTAAATTCTTCTTCTTTTTTCCCTGAAATGCAGACTCGGCTATCTCCAGTTTTGTTAAGTGAACTGTTGTGTTGTTGACTCTGTATTCTTTTTGTTTCTTTTCTCAATGTGACTGCAGAAGGCCGAGAGCTCAGACGAGGATGAGGAGGTCAAATCTCTGATGTCCAAGCCTGGGAGCTCTTCAGCCAAAGAGGAGAAGGAAAATGAAGCCTTTTTTAAAAGGGTACTTTTACCCTCTAAAAATTGTCATCACTCTTGAATCAGCCAAGGCTTGACTTGCCTCTGTAGCTGTTCCAAATCACAGTGCTGTCTTATGCTGGAGCTAAATTCAAACATCACATGGATATAATCTATTCTGTCATGGTGTCTTCTCTCTCTAAGTTTTGCTGTGTCAACATTTCAGTCTGTGTTGATCCCAGTCTCCTTGTACTGGGCTGACCTGGTGTCACTGCCATACTATTACAGCATGATTAATTAATCAATGTCAATTTAAGCAAAAATGCCAACAGGTATTTTACAGAAACCAACTCTGATCGAAGTTTGACTATTTGTTGATGGCAAACCTCCTGTTCCCAGGTGCAAGAAATTCACGAGGGGCTGCATAGTCTCAGGAAGATGGTGTCTGACCTGGAGAACAAGCAGAAGACTGTGCTGGGCGTGGCATTGCCGGAGGAGAGTAAGTATGTGAGGCCATCAGCTGGTCCACATCTGGATACTGACCACATCCATAAAGTACAAAAAAGTGTCTGACACCACTGGACAAAGTCAATGAGTAATTGAAAGGTTCGCGTTTCTACCGTTTAGTGAATTATAATAAACTTGTGTAGTGGACTGATGAGCTGTGTTCCTTTCGAGTTAGGTATGAAGAAAGAGCTACAGACTCTTCGAGATGAGATAAAGATGCTGGCGACCCAGATCCAGAGGAAACTGAAGAGTGAGTGAGTGTTGATAACAAGTGAACAGTGTTTACTTTTGGTTTTGTTTACTTGAAATACATTTGTCATGTTATCTTTTCACAGGTATTGAACCTAAGAAGGGAGAGGAGGATGGAAAATACGTTCCCATAAACATTCGAATGCAGCGGACACAGGTTCAGCCTTATTGTTGCTTTCATGTCACAACATCCTAGTGTGGAGTCTGTTTTTAGGATATAACTTATGCATTAGAGTTTTGATTTCCACTGATCTATCTCTTCACATCATCTCCTTTTTGAAATGTCAGACAAAAATTGTAAGCATTTTATTGCTCACCAAAAACTGAATGGTGGAATTTATGACAGAGCTGATATATTGAATGGCAGTAGGCTGTACAAATGTACCTAATAAACTGACCACTGAGTGTATATTGATACTGAGACTTCTGTCTCGAGCTACCGTGAAGTAAAAAGTATAGTGACCAAATGGTTTCCTTCTTTCCAGCACGGCGTCTTGTCCAAGGAGTTTGTGGAGCTGATGGGTTACTGCAACACCATCCAGGCCCAGTACAGGGACCGCAACGTGGAGAGGATACAGAGGCAACTTAAGATCAGTGAGTGCACGGAGCACGGCTGTGACTTCTTGGTCAGCTCTGTGGTCTGACACACATTGTCTCTGATAGAGGAAGTCTTTGGAGTGGATCCTTATTTTCATTTTCTGTCTCCTGAGACATTTCTCGAAACAGATCTAACATACTTCTCTCTTTAGCTGGGACCGAGGTGTCGGAGGAGGATCTGGACGCTATGCTTGAAAGTGGCCAGACGGATGTTTTCACTCAGAATGTGAGTGCACACCGATAGAGGAGGGGGTCGGCCCTGTGCCCGCCTGAGTCTTGGAAACCACAACACAGAAAAACACATTTACAGTTGCCAGTGTTTCCACCAAATGTATACTTGTAGCAGCAGCAGTGACTTTAAATGACATGTACAGTATAAAAATGTGTGCTCTGTTGTAGCATTGGGATAGACAACAGACCCGGTACGCATGTGAGGGAAAGTTGTGTCTTTAGTGGTGTTGGGGGTGGCTGTGGCTCACGAGGGAGGGCAGTCGGCTCCCGACCACCATAGACAACAGACCCGGTACGCATGTGAGGGAAAGTTGTGTCTTTAGTGTCGCAGTAGTTCATAGTGTGAAGACTCCTGCTGCCGTTTAATGTGGAGTTTGTCATGGATGAAACCCAGAGAGCTCATGACTTCTGAGATGTTTTCATACTTGTCACATAATGCATTACTGCTAATAAATATCTGGTGTACAGATCTTGAGCGACGCTCAAGCTACAAAGCAGGCACTGAATGAAATTGAGTCCCGGCACGATGAGATCCTAAAGCTGGAGAAGAGCATCAGAGAGCTGCATGAAATGTTCCAGTACCTCGCCATGGAGGTGGAGGCTCAGGTAAAGCAACGCTGGGAGTCTCTCAGGCTTGTTTGGGTTTGAACAAGTGTCTGATTTTCACACTCTTGTGCAGGGGGAAATGGTGAACCAGATTGAAAACAACATCAAAAAGTCCTGTGACTATGTGGAGAAAGGAAAAGACAACCTAGAGCAAGCAGTCAAACATCATAACAGCGCACGCAAGGTACAGTGTGGAGCCATCGCAAAACCCGAAAGATTTAATGACATGGACACTTTGACTGGAAAACTAATTCTTTAGTGGGCCCTAACGGTTCCAACACACCGTAACACTGCACTTACAGTATGTGCCTATGAAGGATGTTTGTTTAAAGCTGCAGTGTGTGAGGTGAGGTTCTATATTGCAACATTATTTTTAAAAAATGACAGCTTAAAAAAAGTGTATACAGCACATCAGCAGCTGTGTTTTTTCATCTGTCACCCAACTGAATAGGGACAGAAACTAATAACCTATTAAACATGAGAGAAATGAAAGTTTGTCCACTTAATTGTCTGTTTTTGCTTCTGTTCCACTGTAGAAAAAGGTTTGGATCGCGATCTGTTTGGCCATCCTCCTCCTCATCCTAGCCATCTCACTGGCCGTCACCTTCTCCTAACACCAGGCAGTGTGGGTCGGCTGTATATCGATTTGGCAGAAGCACATTTCCCACTTTCATGTAAATATCAGCCCACAGGATGACCGGGTGAATTTAGTCTGTCGTCTTCCCGCTACATCATCTTTTCACATTTTGTCTTCCTCTAACTCCCCTGCCCTCCTAATGGTTCTTTTTGTGTTTTCTTTAAAGAAGAGATGTGCTCTCTGTTGTTTTAACTCAAATAAACTACAGTCATGCCTGTATTTCCACTTCCACTCAAGCCACACTGCTGCTGGTTTATGACTCCTCATTGGGAAAGCTTGTGAACTGTTACACCAGAGCCCCTTCCCCCTATGATAAAGAGGATATAAGTGGCTTTAGTGTGACACAACGCAGTATTGAAACCTGATACCGGTGCTGATCATACTGTACTCAGGAAAACTGATTCTTGTTACGGTGTTTGTGGATGAATTGAAAGCATAAATTAGTTCGAATAGAATAGAGGTTTCTTTTATAGGCTGGTATAAATGTACATAACATTTCTGTGGATTATTTTTAAAACTTGATGTTTCTGCCTACATGTAACAAGTGTAAATATTTTTTGCAGCCCCACCCCCTTCATTTTTTATTATACAAAGGAGTCTCAGCACTGCAGTAACAGGCCTGAGGCCCCTTTCTTTTTGTCCTATCAGTGTGTTTATGATTTGACCATCATTGTGTAGAGCTGCCCCAACAGTGAAATCCTTTTTTAAAAAGGCATTTCAAAACCACCTTCTCCCTTACAACAAATGTATGTTTTGTTGTGCACTAATATTGCCAAGAACAGAGTGAGTGAGTTTTTATGTTTGAATTCACATAGCGATGTTTCAGCTGAGTCTCCTCAGCTCCACCTGACATGTACGCTGTACCGTCGCACTGTGCCTCCACTTCTCCACCAGGTCCCTAGTTTAGTAATTAGTTGATTTTAATTGAAAAATCCTGGTGCAGTAATGTGTTTACTAACAAGACAACCCCTTTATGGAGACAAATAGTCACCATTGTGCAACACAATGTGAAAAATACACCAAACCAAAACTTTCATGTACAGTTCTTGCTCAAGTCACCTTTAGCTTGTCTGCACACACGAGAGCAGACAGAAAAAGAAGAGTGACTTTGTTACTGCTGAATGTTGCATCACATTTATTTTAATATTTGTTTTTAAAATAAAATACTGCCATATTCTATTGTTCTGTGTTTGTCATTATAGGACCGTTTTGTGTAGTCCATATATATTAGCTGAAGGTTTTTTTGTAAGTTACACCAAAGAAGTATTTCACATTACTTAACAGCTGTGACATGAACCTGCATTTCAATCACAAACAAAAATCTTCAACACACTAAAAAAGTAGCAACTAATTTTTGGTCTTTTTATTCAGCTGTAATTGTCTTAATTTTTCAAGTAAAACAATGTGGAATTACAAGGGATCAAAGGAATGCAACAAAGACAAATCAAAGAGAAGACCAGCACAAACCACCCCACCCCACCCACCCCGCCCCCCAAAAATACCACCTTTGCTCAAAATTGCTTTGTCAAGTCCAAAAGTAAATTGACAATTTAGTCATCTGGAACTGTACCAGTAATTTTATTCACATATTTTGTCCAAGTATTTTTTTTTTTACATGAATAAAAAGCGAACTGATGGTGACAAAAGATTCAGGTGAAAAAGCTATTTAGTAGCGGGGGGTCCTTTTTGTTTCATTTTACTTTTTTCTTTTTTTAAACACAGAGAAGGTTGAGACTCCTGCTTCATCTGCATCACAAGGCAAAAAGGTTGAACTCCAATTGGCCTAAGAGGCACTCTTACTGTCAGTGACTTTTAGATGTCCTTATAATACATGGCAAACTTAACACTGCCTGCCTTTGGGAAGATCAGGAGAAAGAAGCTGGGTTTTGTCTCCAGATGTTGCACCTTTAGGACAATTTGTAATGCCATTTTCAGACCAGAGAGATGCACGTGCAGTGCCAGGGACCGATGGATAGACTTAAGTTGATGTAAAGACATTAACACCACAATGTACTCTGAAGCCGAAGGCCAAATTATCAGATGTGCAAGGAGAGAAATGCGAAGCTGGATTTAAAAACAAATCCAATGAACAGAAGTTAATATGAAAAAAGGGCCTCAAGCAAAGACAAGCTCCAGCATAGTGCAGCAAAGATCACATGACAGACCTGTTCTCTTCCTAATACTCTGGAAGAAATAATAAAATATGCATAACTTATCAACTGACTACAAAGAAACAATAGTCAGGACAGCTGATGAAATGTTCCAAACTAAACTCCCAAATCTTCAACTTACAATACAACTGGTCACTCAAAGGTTTTCATTTAGAACCCTAATAGAGGGTGTTGTGTAGTCCCATCCTAACACACAGGATCTGAGTGTTCAGTCTTTAATGATTACAGTACACAATGTGAACAACTTGTTACCTCTTAACCTTTTCCCCTTCAAGTCCCAGTGGTGCATTCAGCCACTGTAACATCTCTCGGTTTCAGGACGCGCTATGATGGCACGACATTTTTACTCTCAGTCCAGCATCCCTGAGCCTTCCCCCCAGCTGGAAACAGTTGAACTGGTGAGGGGACCAGCTCCAATAGGAAAGGGAGAGGGCCCGAGAGGCAGAGAGCTCTCTGGCTTGTGCAGCACTCAGATCCCTTGCGTTCATCAGAGTGCAGACAAAGCAGCAACCGTTGAGGTTATGACATGCTCTTGAACTGTGTTCTGCAACAACACCCTGGCTTCTATATTTCCCTTTGGCACTCCCATCATGTCTTATTGTGACGGTATGGATTAGAAGAGGAGCGGGTGCTTGCAGCCGGTGACCGGGCCTGCACCGCTGCGAGTGCTGCAACGCTGCGCAGCACCCTGTCCGGCGTCCCCTCTGCTCCTGAACTGCTGGTCACCTCCTGCGAGAGCTTCTGAGACCTCCTGCTGTCCTTCCGGCTATCCTGCTGTTGGTCCTGCTTCTCTTTTTTGTCTCGACTCTTTGCCCGCTCTGAACTGCGGTCGCTGCCGGAGGAAGCAGCACGGGAGCGGGACTCTCTGTGCTCTGTGTTTTGAGAGCTGATGCTGCGAGTGCGTTGGCTGCTGTTGCTGCTGCTGCGGGTTTTTGCCCGCGCAGCCCGCCC